TAATTGAATTGTGAATTACGGAGTAAATAAAGGACATTAGATTAATTCTTTATAACGAAAGATACTGCAAATTGAAGTGGCGAGTTTTTTATTTAACAATCCAGAGATCGTACCCGAAGGATTTAGAAAATAATCGAGGTTGATTTAGTAAAATCGTAACAATATGACCAAAAAATAATATGGCAGCTTTAGATTTTTTAGTTTCTGAATTCGCCTTGGTTGGAACTCATTCGAACAATTTGTTCGCGCAATTTTTGTTATTGTCCTATTGCTATCAGCTGTAGTGAATTTACCTCGATTTTTTTTTTTAGTAATTAATACATATAAAAGTTATGAATACCGGTCTCAAAATTTTTAAATGCTTAAGATATGAAATATCCAAGCAACTCGTGCGAAACACTTGCAAAATAGCTGTAGAGGTGGATCCGAACCTGATTGAAAGGTTGGAAAGCTGTGACGTTAAGCCAAGAAACCATCCCGGTATTTCGAAGCTAGGAAGAATTGAGCTGCCCTCAAGTTTGCGTCATGCTTTGGAAAAGGCCATTGGAGATCATCCAGTTAAATCTATGTTTAAGGATTGTAAACAGCTTGACCAATATATTAATTCCCGGCATCCACCTATTGAACAAGAAGAGATCAATACGAAAATGAGGTCCATTATGGAAGAAGTTGATCGTCGTATGCCCCCGGAACAATTATCTTTGCTGGGAGAGGAAAAGGGTGTTAAATGGAGAAAAAAGCGTGAGAATTTGATAAAACGATTAATCGCCCAACGCAATTATGCTTGGAAGCCGATAGAGTATGGTTCATACGAGGCGTTGGTTTACGCTATTGGACGCGGGGCAAAGGAGTATGCTGTATTAATAAGTATTTTGAATGAAATACGGGTACGAGATGGTGCATTTCATCCAAGAAGTTTCTTCGATTTTGGTTCGGGTGTTGGCACTGGCATGTGGGCTGCTAGTAATTTTTGGAAAGATTCTATATTTGAATACTACAATGTAGACAGTTCCAGAAGTATGAATGATTTGTCCGAATTAATATTACGCGAAGGCAACGAAAATCAACAAATGTCATTGCGTAATGTTTTTTACAGGCAATTTTTACCTGCAATGGAGGTATGTTTCAATTTTCAATTTAACTCTACATATAAATATATGATCTAAGTTTACACTTGCAGACTGCCTATGATTTAGTTGTATTATCCTATACCCTTTTTGAGTTACCAAGTACAGAGAGTCGAAAAGGCGTTTTACTCAACTTATGGAAAAAATGCAATGGTTATTTTGTTATTGTTGACGAAGGAACTCGCCGCGGAAGTGAATTAGTGAATGAAGCACGGGATTTTATATTGAACATACAGAGTGAGGAACTTAAAGGTTCTGTGTTTTCGCCGGTAAGATTGCCTTTGGAAAGACTATTTTTTTTACTTGAATTAAATTTTGTAATACTTTTAGTGCCCACACAACCTAACCTGCCCGCGTCTAGCTAATGCTATCGATCGAACGCCGTGTAACTTTGAACTTGGTTATGTACCTCTACACTTGGGTGGTGTAAAAGATGATCGTCAGACTACCCGTTACAGTTATGTTGTGTTAAAGAAAGGAGAGATTTCAGATGCAACACGTAATTGGCCGAGGTTAGTTCGGCCAACATTGCAGCGTTCCAAACACATAGTTTGTAGAATGTGCACGGAGGACGCTAAACTGCAGGAAGTCATTTTCACACAATCCAAACATGGGAGGTAATATACACATATTTAACTATATAAAATTATATTTTCTCAAATGTTTTATTTTTAAAGAAACGCTTATCGGTGCGCAAAAGCGAGTGATTGGGGTGACAGATTGCCAATTAAACTGGGTGCCGAGCTGCCAACAATAAGAAAAACATTTAGAAAAAATATAGTCAAAAGTGAAAAGGAAGATTTGTAACTATCTATATGTGTCACTAACAAATAAAAAAAGTTAAAAGGACATGGATCTACTTTAATTTTTGGAACAATAATAAACATTATTTTAGTCTTAAATGCTCGCATTTTTATTTTGTTCTACTTCAACGGTGTATTCTAAATGTGCTGTGTGCTGCCAATCAGTGCTAGAAAACTGACAAATCTATATTTTTTGTACCCAATATTCATAGACAATTGTCCCTTAAAATTAGTCAGCAAGATTAAAAACTTAAGATACATTGTTAACTCTAATCTTACATGCACAGATCATGTAAATTTCATTGTTATTAAGGTCTGTCTCATTCTGAGGAATCTTAGGCAGTCAGCTGCTACCAGACGCCGACCAGAGAACTTGAAATAAAATTGAAATTGAAATTTAATATAAATTTAATGGAAATTTACAAATCTACAAGAAATTTCTTTATTATAATAAAAATTTATTATAAATAATTATAATAAAAAATAACAAAATTAAAAATTGGTATGAGAAATATATATAATTAATAATATATTAAGGCTCCTTCGAAGGAAATTTGAACCAGCGCCAGAAACAAAACACCAAAAATATAAATACATACATATGTATATGTGCAAACGTACGCGCTAACTACGCAACAGCATAACCCAAAAATTAAATTTTTCCATTTTTATGTTCATTATAATAATATTAATTATCAATATACAAAAAGTATTGAATAAAATAAATAAAAATAAAAAATTTAATAATTTTGAATAAATTGAAGGAATTTGAACCTGCCCAAAAAGCAAAAAACCAAAAGCCCATGTAGCTTTTGCGCGCTACCAACTGCGCCATAACATTATATAAAAATTCGCTGGCATATTCTGTACTTATACCAAAGAACGTATATTAATATACGTTTAATATACGTTCTTTGCTTATACCAAATCAAAGAAATAGACCAATAGTTTTTCTTCTTCTTATTCACTTAAATGTACGAAAGAATTGTTCTCCCCGCGCGCACTTCGTCAACAATCGACTTCGCTGATTTGCACAGTGCGCGCGCGTGCATGCGAACAATGCGTACATTACTTCAAAGGATTATGCTCATTAGTTTATGTTATTGAAAGGTGTAGTTTTGCCAAATTATACTGCATTTTTGATTGATTTGATATTTCCGACCTCTTTTAGATCTGAATTCAAATTATATTTATTAAAATCTTATGGTTTGAGGGCATTTAGGGAACATTAATTTTTGAATTGCAATACATTTGTTCGCCTTATCGAGAGTATGTTTGTGCGTAACGGGTACAGAAATTTCTTCGACTTCTGATTTTTGTGAGCTGTAGCTTGTGGAAGAGCAGCGTTCGGGGAGAGATTTTGCTTGCGGCATACGGGTTGTTGACGATGCGAAGAATATTTTTTGCAACTTCAACTAGTGTTGTGCATATGTACGCAAATAAGGACATAAGGTGTACATACAAACATATGTATGTAAGCATGTTTGGCGGTGGATAAAATATGATAGATTTTTGGATTGAATAATCCATAAAATTAAATTTAATAATCCATAAAATTAATAGCTATTTGATATTAATTAGTTTTAAGTATTTTTATTTTAATATTAATTAAATATTTTATATACTATATTAAACATATGTGTGTATGTATATATGTTATTTTAAGTTCTCTGTTTCAAGTTCTCTGCTTCTTGTTATTTTAAGTTCTCTGAATTGCACCTTCTCGTTATTTTAAGTTCTCTGATGCTGATACACTGCTATCATCCGCTAGATGACGCTAAATTCATCCTAACTAACTGAGGAGAAAGCGAGAAGCTTTTCATCACAGCAGTTGACAGTTTTATTTTTTATAGGAACATAATATTGACTGGTGTAGCGGTACCGGTTTTTATTACTAAGGAATTAGTATTTCTTTTGAGTGGGAAATTAATAAAACCATACCCTTTTGATATTTTACAAAGGATGTAACAACACCATTTCAGTTATCACTTACAGCCCAGCCATAACTTAAGAGTTTTTCTTGTTCAATGTTTTTTTTTACAATACTTTTTCGTTTTCTAGTTTTTACGTACGACTAAGTGTAAATTTGAAAATGGTTCTTATATTATTTTTAGTTTTTTTTTTACGTATATAATACAAGGTTTATAGAAACAAGGTTACGACGACCGAGGACGTCACGGAACCAACAGCGTCATATAACAGTGGGCGAGACTAGATATATATGTAAGTTAACACAGGTAACCAATCATCCGGCCAAAATATCACTTCCACGGAAACTGCTGACGGTGCGTCTACAACTTTGCATGTAACAACAATGAAAAACTCAATACTGCAATAATAACCAGCAGTAACGCATCCGGCCATATTGCTGACCGAACACTTATAGTCTTGCGCGTGACAACAACAAACCAAATACAAACCAAAATTCGGAATTGGTTCACGCGGCTAATAACGTGCAGCAACTAAAGTTAGGACAAGTAGTGTAGGTATTTAGACGCTAGCGTCGCCCTTGTGTAATTCAGTTATAACAGCTCATCCGCTGAGACCGGCTGCCCTTGTCAATACAAGGGAATAAAGAAAAAACAAAAACATAAAGTAATTGTTTTACTGGCGCCCAACGTGAGGCCAAACAAAAAAATCTCCTTGTAAAGGACACGAACATTTGGCCGTGGGTTCGGACCCACCTCCTAAAAAACTCTCAGTACTAAAAATGCCAATAGTCCAAGTTAAAACATTCAGGACACCAGTGCCACCATAGAAGTGCCAATAGTCCAAGTGAAAATATTCCGGACACCAGTGCCACCATAGAAGTGCCAATAGTCCAAGTGAAATATTCAGGACATCAGTGCCACCATAGAACTGCCAATAGTCCAAGTGAAAATATTCAGGACACCAGCGCCACCATAGAAGTGCCAATATTCAAGACAGAAGTGCCACCATAGAAGTGCCACAACAGAACAATAGTTCAAGTGAAAAAACATTAAGTGAAACACCAGTGCCACCATATAGGTGCCACTATAAATAAATAAAAGAACACAGGAAGAAATATATTTGAAGCATTGCACGCCGAAGGTTTTGCCAACGGGGGACAACCAGCTTTAATAACCAAAAATACAGTAATCAGGATACACGGGGACAACCAGCATTTATATGAACATGGAAATATTCATGTAAGTAGAAAGGTCAGCAGCTAAATATATTTATCAATAAAGTGTAAAACCAGATTCCCATTCGAAATTTTGAAAAAATTAAAAATAGTGTTTCAATCAAAGACAATGGACTCCCAGACCCTCCAAACTCTTCTAAATACCGCAATCCGTGCGGCAACCGAACATTCCAGGCAAGAATTTTAGACCCGCGTAGACGAGCTTACAAATAGGTTAGCTAGGATTGAAACCCCAACTCAGGTGATTCAATATGAACCAGTTACAATCGAACCAAATGTATTGTGTGACGAATCCCTAGATCTAGTAAAAACCATGCCGGAATTCAAGGGTGATCCTACCAGTTATGTCTCCTGGAGACAAGCGGCGCACATACCAAGGTAGTTCTAAGCACTACCAGGCAGTAGGCATCATAAGAAACAAAGTGGTAGGGGCAGCGGACAGTGTACTTTCGTCCTTCAACACAGTCTTGAATTTCCAGGCAATTATTGCAAGGCTAGATTTTGCATACGCCGATAAAAGGCCCATCCATCTAATAGAACAAGAGCTGTGTACCTTACGGCAGGGTAAACTTTCAGTGATAGCGTTCTACGATGAGGTCGAAAGGAAACTGACCCTTATAATAAATAAAACGATCATGACTGACTCCGTATTTTTATTTCGGGACTCAATCGTCCTTTATGTGATATACTGTTTTCCTCCAGGCCTAATGACCTTCCCTCCGCTTTAGCTTTAGCACAGGAGCTTGAATCAAATCAAGCCAGGTCCATGTTCGCCCAGTCCTTTAACAGGCAAACATTTCAGAGTCCCAGCCAGTTTCCATATTTACCACAGTATCGAACAATTCGGCCTGACCAGCAACGATGGGCTCACACACAAAGAGTCGTACCAATAAATGTAGATCCATCGCTCTCACGGTTCAGACAAAATAAACTCCAACCAATAAATGGTAATAATGAGAGGTTCCATCAAGGAGCCTATCCAAAGGCTCCTCGTCCAAATATTGGCAATCCGAGTGGCTTACCCAACCAAAACACAACCCAGACCTTCGGAAGACAAGAGCCAGCTTCCCTGGGCAGGGAAAAGCCAGAGAAAAGACCACACGGGAGTGGACAGCAGGTAATACAAAAGGTGCAAAGGATAAACAACCTTATCCAGGAGCAGGACGAGCCTGAGGGAGAATACTGGAATATCGCCAGCTACTACCAGAGCGAGGATTATGTAGAGTGTAATCCAGTCGAATACCAGGACGAATCAAATGATGATGTGAATTTTTTAGGACTAAATCCCTCTTGCCCTATATAGAACGAACGATCAGGGGAAGAGGTATAAAATTCCTTATTGACACTGGTGCTGCGAAGAGTTACATCAAACAGCTCGATGACCTAAAGGGAATCAAATCTGCAAGCCACACCTTTTCAGTCAAATCTATTCACGGCACCACTGAAATTGACAAATGTTGTACAATCAACATTTTTAATAAAAATACTAAATTCTTTATCTTGTCCAGCTTGGACACCTTCGACGGTATCATAGGTTTTGATCTATTAACGGGAGTGAACGGTAAAATAGATTGTAAAAACGGACTACTTAGTTATGACGGTGGACAGGAAAAGCTCTTTTACCACCATTGCCCGGATGTTAATAAATTAACAGAAATAAACGCGAACGACTTGGGCATTCTCGCACTATTGCAACGACACGCTAAAGTTTTCGCGGACCCCAACGAAGCTCCACCCTATAATACCAATATTATAGGAACAATAAGGACCACCGATGACCTTCCAGTTTACTCAAGGAGCTACCCATATCACATAGCTTCAGCCGAGTTTGTGAATAAGGAAATTTCGAATCTCTTGCGTGACGGTATAATAAGATCATC